ATGAAGAATCAAGGATTTGATTTTCTGCTAAGGCCAGTGGGGAATGTGCTGGCTGGAAAATTACTGCTTGGCTATCACCCATGGGAACATAGGCTATCGCCCATGGGAACACAGGCTATCACCCATGGGAATATAACATTCTAACAATAAGCTTTCTGCTTCTGTACCCCCGCTAACACACCCGACCTTACACACCCACAGGTAGTGAACAGGAGAAAAATAGATCTTTGTGTTTAAGACAGAATGAGGAATGGGATTTAGGGCTTAAAAACCATGTACCTCTACATTTCAGGGCTGCTTAATTTGGGGTCTGTGTACCCGCGGCAGACCCAGCTGGCTGAATAAAGAGTGTGATTCCTATAACTCACTGATTTCTGGTGGTCCGTGTGTCTTTCGGGGGCTGGCGGATGCAACAACCCAAGCCTAGAATTTTAGTTCAAAGTAAATACTGACATTCTGTATGAGCTCTTTAGTGGAGTGGGGAAAACTCCAGTAAGCTCTATCAAGTGACTATTGGGAGTACTGTGCCTGCCTCTAGAGAGGACTGGGGAGGGTAGCTGCTGGGAGGAATGTAAATGCAATTTAATGCCTAGAGGCCAGCTATGATCAATGTCCTACAATGCTTGGATGCTTGGGACACTTGGTTATAATAAAGAACTGTCCTGTCAATAGCAGTCCTCTGTCATTTGAAACATGTGCTTCAATCAACTAGAAATAATGCTTCTCCAACTTTGCTCTCTGGACTTACCCCAAAGGATTTTTATATTCTCTGAGCTCTGTATTTCCTTTCGAACAAAATTAATGAAAATTGTTAGGCATTCCATACGCCTGAGGAGGAAGCAGAATACTAAAACTTTCCCGTTTCCACATAAGAATGATAAGCTTGGAGAGAGGTGTAAGGATGTGGTGTACTGATAAAGGGGGATGAACACGATGGGTGGGAGGCAGCGGTGGTTATGAGAGTACTGGGTAAAACGAAAGTGGTGCGAACAACCTACACATACAAAGAGCTCAGATTTTAGAATTACTGTGCCACTTCCCAATAACAACATATATGTCATATGTTAAAAATGAGGTCCTTTCTTTCATCATCTTTCAATACTGTGAAAAGTTAAAAATGAGGTCCTTTCTTTCATCATCTTTCAATACTGTGACTAAGAAGTTCTTCCATCTTTATATTCAGTTTTAACTAGGAGTAACAATCATACAATCTAAGGTTTGTAACCCGCCATTTTTACCAACCCAGTTCACACAGAAGGATCCCACGTACCATTCTGGATGCCTGTCTGGCGATTCGGTACACAGTCCACCCATTGGAGACACTTTCGAGCTGCTGTTTAATTACTGCCTTTACCTCAGGAGAGAGTGCTTTCTGACTGGCGACAAAAATCACAGTGGCCAAACTCACCTAACATTGAGCAAAAAGTAAGGCGATCAAAAAGTCATGTATTTCTATCTAATGTCATAACTTTAACCAAAAGGGAGAAAAACTAATTAGAGCTCATTAAAAAAGAACAAAATTTGCTTTCCTTTGACATTTAATTTTTTACCTTGAAGTCATTAAGTAATATATTCCACTGCTCAGGGCATTGTTTATAATAGCAAATAATTGGAAACAATGGTCATAAATGTGGATAAGTAATGATAAAAACACACAATGAAATACTATACAGCACTAAAATGGATAAACTAGAGGTATATTTACTGATAGCACTTATGTAAAGTTAAAAATACACAAAAAACATAGCATTTTACTTAGGCTACATACTAAGGTGGTAAATGTATAACAGGCATGGGAATGGTAAACACCAAATTCGGAATAGTGGTTACTTTGGGAGAAGGGAGTTATACAGGGAGGTATAATTCAACTGCACTAGTAATATGTTTTTTTAAGCTAAGTGATGAATACAAAAGTTTTCACTGTATTATTCTTTACATTTTTTGAATATTATGTTTCATAATTTAAAATTGCCTTAAAGTAGTACTAACAAAAAAGGGATAAATTTCATTAGTTGAAAATGCTGCTTCAATAAAAAATAAACTTGGCTAACTGCTTCTTAGCATTCCAAAGCTGATACAGACAAAGGTCCATACATATTGTGATAACAGTATGATGTCATTTCCATGACCACTGCCACTTGGTCAGCAGAGTAACCCTTTCCTGATAGAAAAAGATGAGATGGGACAACCTTTCATACAGCTCCCCCTGGAGGATTAAATATAAAACAGGCTTGAGTAAGTAATTTCATTAAGCTTTTTCTCAAGCCCTAAACTCAGCTGACCAGAAACAATATGGAGGGGCCAACTTAAGGCTTCCATCTAATTTATGCCTGTTTAGAATGTAGCCTCCTCTCAGCCTTGGAGAACTTTCAACTAAACATTATTAAAATGCTTCCATGTCTTCTGTTTCTTTCTAAGCATGCACCTTTCCCAATCCCAGGCCTATATTGAAACCTAAAGTGGATCCTAAATAGCCAAAGAGGTCCTCGATTGGAAAAGAGGAATCTGGGCTAATTTATGGTCACTGTCATTATTAGGTCTTTAACATATATTTTTGGAAGCACAAAAAGGGGTTCAGATCTTATTTATCTGCTCTGTATAAAAAAAGAAAAAATCTATTTCATTTTGTTCTTTGCAATAAAACAAAAATATCAGATGGAAGGCTTTGGTTATACTAAGATGACTTGATAGGGCTTAGGAAGAAAGAAGTTTTAGATCTGAACTAAATAGGGCTTTCTAAATCAAAAGTGGAAATAGTAAAAAGCTTACGGTTCCAATTCTATTTTAACTTTGGCATACCCTTGGTCTCAGATAATTAACTTTAACTTGTTGTTTTGCTTTTTAAGTAAAGTCAAACAGTAATGTTAACTTCTTGAAGTAATTCTCATAGATCAGACCCTATTTATTCATCCATCCACGGCAGGATCAAAAAGTGGCTCTTTACCAGAAGTTCCTGCTGCTTGTCTGTGGCTGATCGTCCAATCACCTTGTAGAGTTCCACGAGGTCACCCAGCATTCCATCACCCAGCACCGGCAGCTGCATGGCAATGGCAGCCAGGCAATGGCACATCAGGATCCGGGCAGCATCCTGAGCACTGTGCAACTGAGTCAACAAGGTCTCAACCACTGACTGGCTAAGATGGGGTCTGCCCTTGGCCAGCTTCACCATACAGTTCAGAGCAATCTGCACAGTGAAAAGGAAATGGATCAGTTATAACCTTCACTGAAGGTATTAAGTGAACCTTTAAAGAACCTTGTATAAGTTACTGAGAAAAATCGAAGAAAAGGTTTTTTTTGTAGACGTAACATTTTTCTTCATAAGAAACGTATGACATAATGAATCCCATTTTAGTATCTGCAAAGCATGCCATGTTTAAAACTTAATAACAAGTCAGGACTGAACATTAACCACTCATTTTGGTCTAAGACTATTAAAAAAAAAGACGAGATGAAAATCATAAGGAATAATTCTAAGAGGCGAAATATATGGCAAGCTAAAAGTCATCATTACTGTACTTTCATTACTTTTTAAGAACTGCTTTGAAAATGTGGTTTGCAAACTTACTTATTCTATCATCTCCCAAGATGCTAATAAAAATATAGATTCCTGGGCCCTACCCATCCCAAACTTAATGGATTAACTCTGCGTATGCCTGTGTGCACACACATTTGGGTTACCGAGAGTTCACAATTTAAGAAAGGTGCCACAGGGAAGAGACTTTTAATTTTTTCTCTTATTTCTCAACTGAAAGCAAAAACCAATTGGCTTTAGAGCTTCTATTCAGTCCAGTTAATGGCATCAGTAATATCTCAGCCACCAAAATTAGATATCCAGGAGTCCTTTCACTGTTAATAGCCAACTGATTGCTAAGTCTAGATGTTTTTCTTTCTTTCCTTGTTTAAAAAATCTTCTGTCAAATCTCTTACACCTACCTCTTTAGCTCCTTACCATTCTCTACCACAACATAAATCCCTTCCTAATTCTAAATCTCTTGAAAAGATGAGCCCTTTAATCCCTCCCTTACACTAAAACCATGTAGTTCTCAGTGTGGTGTTAAGATGTAATAAGCTTTAAAGTCTGATAGACCCAAAGATGAAGGTCAGCTTGCCCTTTATTAACTAAGTATCTTTGAAAAGTTATTTTATCTGAGTCTTAATTTCCTCATGAGTATAAAAGGAGGACAAATTTCACTATATGGAGTTACTGTAAAGATTGAAAAAAAATGTGTATACAAGCCTTCAAACACTAAAACTGAAATTCTCACTGCTCACTATTTCCTCAAACACTGAAATTCTATCCCATCTTTCAGGGCTCAACTCATGAGGCATCTACTTGTTTAAGTCTTCCCTAATATCCTTAGTTAAAATTAATCACTCCCAACTCTGTTCTCTCATTAGAATTGCACTTTCGTCTGTACTATCAGAGAACTTGGTATCACAGGCTCTTATATCACTGTCATATCCTCTAAATGGAGAGGTGCTTTAATATAGGGACCTTTCTCGATCACCTGTGTTATGTATACCTCACTGTGTGGACTCTAGTGTTTTACTGACACCCACATATGGGAGGAAAATAATTTGGTTTGCTTCTTTCTTTTTTAAAAAAATTTTAAATAAACATATTGTGGTTCCAAAAGGATTCTGCAGATAAATCATTTGCTGAACACATGTTCAGTGAACACATTGAACACCTCTGCATTATCAGCTTTTATTTAATGGTACTAATACCTTTATTGTTCATTACTATGACCACACCATTACCTTTTCTAAACATGCTATATTCCCTCCCATTTTGGACATCAAAATTCTTACACTCTCCAATGTATACCTAATAGCCTTTTACTTCTATTCTCCCTGCTTTTTAGAATTATTAAGTTTGTACCATCACATATTGTATGTCATGTTTCACTCCAATAAGAGCAGACCATTTCGCATTTTAAAAATCTTAACTATCTCAAAGATAATTTCTATAATTAAACGAAAGTGATATTTTTTACAATTATCACTTGGCTTAAAAACTAGGACTTCTACTCTCAGGAAATTAATACACACCTATAACAGAGTCTGGCTATAGTAATTTCATCAGGGTTTTGCGATCTTATCAGTGTCATCTCAGATTATAAACTTCCAAGGGTGCAGGAGCTCTGCCTATTTAACTTTGCTGCATGTTGTCTAGGACCACTATTTACTAAAACTTAATAAATACTGTTAATTGATGGCAAAATGGGCTAAAGCTCAAATTATTATTTTGTCTATCTTTTGGAACACCAACCGTCAAAATGCCAGTTTTGAAGGTGAAGACCAAAGGCAAATGTTTGTTTAAGCCAGGAAGTGATAAACTACTGCCACTGGGCCAAATCCTCTCTGTTTCTTCTAAATAAAGTTTTACTGGAACCCAGCCACTCTCCCACCCTTTCTTTACATATTGTCCATAGCTCTTTTGTCCTACAAAGGTAGAACTGAGTAGCTGCTACAAAGAGTGTATAACCTGCAAAACTTCAAATACTATCAGACCCTTTAATGAGAGACTGCAAACTCCTAGTGTAGGCAATGAAGACAGACATTGTATTAAAATAAATGTTTTCACCTTTAAAGTGGCTTGAGCACCTGGACTATCGTCTTGACTACAAAGTATCAGAAGGGCTTCCAGGCCAAAAACAGCATCTTGTTCCAGTGCCAAAAGGTCTAGAGGAAAAACACTAAGTTTTACAGTGGTCAAGCAGAGAAGAATAAATACACACACCCGCACACCCACAAAAAAACCATTAGGGAGTCTAAGATATAGGAAACGTCTCAATGAGTAAAGCTAACCTTCCTGAAAAAGTATTTCTGGCATTACTTCTGAAATGCTAAGGCTATCTTCAAACTTGTGTATTTCCACTACTTTGTTGAAGATTACAAAAATATACATTCAATAGATGTGTGGCTAAAGCTACAAAGGTTTAAATAAAACATAACTGAGACACTATCACCAGCTCAGCTGAGGAAAATACCAGGAAGAGCAAACCATGTAGTATGTGCTAATCTTTCTAATCAGACATAAATAACACACGTCCATTTTCACCTGGAATGCTACAATTTCCAGTTTCTAATGAAAGCTGAACCACTTTTAGGAAGTAATGAGGCCTCCACATAATCATATTAATATTTTAAGTTGGACCATAAAGAAGGAATCCCTTAGATATCTCATCTAATAGCAGTATTTCAGCATTTTCCCACTATTTGAGGGCTAAAATTTCACTGGAGGTCCTAGAAAGTTCTGAATATATTAGTTAACCTTATTTAAATTAATATATGCCAGCGCTGAGAACATACAGCAATTTTCTATGTTACATGATAGAAAATACTCATTACTATGTCAAAAATATAACAGGTTTATTTATTCAAATAAGGATCAACATACAACTTAAAAGAAATGTCTCCTGAGTTAGTATAGGGTCTTGGCGAACAGTATAAAGGCTAGTGAAGGTGCTAGAAAAAAATAAGTACCAGGAACGGGAAGTGCTGAAGGCTAGTGGGGATAAGAGGGACCGCTAAGCACTTCTTGTTTAACACCAGCCTGAGCTTCTCCAAGCCTTCAGGTCAAAAAATGTTAGAAATACAAATATGCATTCTTTTTATGAATGCCCTTCTTTATGCAAATCAGTTTAATGTTCTAGATATCTGGAGATAAATTCTATGAAAATTTAATCCACACAGTTCTGTTAATTTACTTGCCCCCAGGTGAAACAGTTTGTCATTTAAGGCCCTCGATAACTTTATGCTATTTTTCCCTAAATTTTCTAGGTTTTTGTACAGGTAAACAAATTGCCTTATATCAGCGGTAGAATCTTAAGCAGTCCCTATCCACAGCACCATATATACGAAGGTAAACAGGGGGAGGAAATGGGCAATGCTCTACAAAACCTTTCAATTCCACAACCCCAATCCCAAGGTCCTCATATTTTAAAAAATTTCTCAAAGAATTAAGTAGTCTTAAGAAAACTTGCTGTAAGAACACTTCAGAAGGAGGCAACTAGTAGATCAAAGCACACTGGCTAAAAATAATAAGGGATTAGAAAACCAAAAATAGAAATCTGCCCAAGCTCCAATTTAAAAGTTTATACATAACATCAATCCTGATCACTTACCTTTTTCTTGACAAGAAACAGTTATATTAGTTAGTACTCTGACTCCATGAGCTGCAATGCCCCTGTTATTATGGTAACAGCACTCTTGGGCTAATTTGACTAAATCAGAGGATCTAGGCGAAGAACCCACATTTCCTAAAAAAGCAGAGAAAAAGCAGTACACACTGTAATTCAATTATATAGTTCAAAAGCATGTTAGTGCATAGTTTCATTTTTCTAATTTTCAAGAGAAAACCTCCAATAACAAACTTTAACAAAATTTTTACCTGTACCCCAACTCATTATCAATATACATCATCATTTCTTTCTCTTATCAAGGTACTTAGCATAGGTATGAACTAATAGTTTTGTAATGATTAGGACCTGAAATCAAATAAGACATTCTCACAAAAATATTATTAAAAACTGACTAAGCAACAGTGCAAAAGCCAAAACAACTACAAATTGTATCTTGGGAGTTCAAATGGATGTCATTACAGGCTTCTTATCAGATAAAACCTTACTTTCAAGAAAAGAATAAAAAGAGAAACAAAAATTTTAGGTTTGCTTTTCCTATCTCAATTGCTGGCATATATAGTTATCCTTCAAAAGGTTTACCAAAAAAATCATGATTTTAGAGCTGGAAAGGACTTGAGAATTAACTGATTCAACACCCTACTTTTATAGAAGAAATCAAAGCCCGAATATTATAAGCATCTTGCCATCAAGGTCATAAAACTAGTTAGTTATGCACTTGTCTGTGCTTTATACCTCAAGTTCTAAGCTATAGATTGCGGCAACTTTTTAAATTCACACTTCTGCGGCCATGCCACTCTGAACGTGCCCGACTTCGTCTGATCTCGGAAGCTAAGCAGGGTCAGGCCTGGTTAGTACTTGGATAGGTGGCCACCTAGGTATACCAGGTGCTGTAGGCATTAATGAATGAATGAATGAATGAATGAATAAATTCACACTTGAAATTCTGTAATTTAAAGTTTATATTGTGAATGTTTTCATTTATAGTGGAGAAGCTCTCAGTTATAAGTGAGCTGCAAGAAGAATCAGGAGATTAAAGCTTATTCAACTTCTTAGCAGAGTCTCTCATTCCTAGCTTCTTTTCCCCTAATTTTTCCACAATTCCTATCAATTTCAAACTTGTCTCTCGTACCAAGGGTGATGATACTTTTTGAGGCTGAAGGGTATACATATTAATTACAACAGATATAAACCAAGACTGTCCCAGGCAGTGTGGGACATATATGGTCACCTTACTGATTTCCAGTTTAACTTAAAATTACTAGTTTAGGTAAAGCCTCAGTGTTTTAAAAACAGGCAGAATATTAGAAAGATGAAATTATGTGTTCATCTTTTCAACATTATGGAAATCATATTTCCTGCATTCTTTTCCTTGCCCATGTGATATGGATAATGCAGACTCAAAAGTAGATACTGGCCAATATTCTGCTTTTAAAATATAATATTTTTGAGCATTCTTCCATGCGAACTATTTAACAGATAAAATTATCATTTTTATTATTTATTCAGGAATGATTTTTAAGATAAATTCACATGGTTCAAAGGTTCAATAAAGAGTAGAAAAAGGTAAAAAGTTACTGAGTGAAAAGTCTCACTTATCAACTCCATGTTGTTTCTTGTGTTCCATTCCAGAGAGCCTATAAATTTACAAGCATACATATTTTCTTTTTCATTTTTTGGAAAATCCTTGACTTTTATTTTATGTGAACATTATCTAGTCTGGTTATTCGAGCTTTTTGTATAATTCCATATATAACCTACACTTTAACAAAATTCAATAAAAAGAAATAAAATATCTAGCTTAGAAGTGCCTGAATATTATAACCTGACACAATGCTTATGAATGGCCTTGGAATTAAAAAATAAAGAAAAAAAAGTCATCTTGCATTAGATCAGTTTACTATAAAGAAAAACCCTGAGTCAGAACCCTCATGCACTCGGTAAGTATGTGCGTTTGGATATATCATCAAAACTTTGTGGGCCTCAGTTTCAATACTTATAAACTCCCTTGCATGTGCCTCACTTGAAAGGCAACTTGTACAGAAGTAACGAGACCTTGAATGGAAAGGCTCTTATAAATTTTAAGTTCCAATTAATGCTCTGTTTACTGAAGTTCTTTCAAAATGTGATGTCAGTCAAGGATATTAACTTCAAGCTAAGAAACTGAGACTGGCTGATTTGTGAAGAAATAGAATTTACTGAAAGCACATTGGGTATATGGTAGACTGTAATAGTCTGTAATAGTCTCTCCCATCTCTTGCAGGCATGCCCCTTTGCAAGGTAAATTTTCTAATTCCTTGCAACAAAAGGTCTTGGCCAGGTGACTTGCTTTGACCAATGAGATATTTAAAAAAAAACACATGCAAACAAAAGGCCAAAAAGTGCTTTGATGTTGGTCGCTTGCTTGCTTTTGGCTGCTGCCAGAACCCTGAGAACATGATATAAACAAGCCCAAACTAGCCCACTGAGAGTCACATGGAGAAGAACCAAGGTACTTCAACTGAAAGCCTTTCAACCTCTAGCCAATTAATGAGGCCATCATACACCATCCGGCCTGGTCAAGGCTCCTGATGACTGGAGTCTTATGAGAGAGGCCAGGTGAGACAAGCAGAACTGCCCAGCGGAGGCCAGTCAAAATTGCTGATTTGCAGAATCAGAGCAAATAAAATGGTCATGGTTTTAAGCCACTAAGTTTTGAGGTGACTTATGTAGCAACAGAACAATGATGAGAGTACCTCATAGAATTACTGGAAAGGCTGGAAAACTAAGCTCAGAAAAAAGGCAAGGCTAGAGACCAATCAAGATCACAGCCCGGACCATGCATGCAGTTTAGTCCAGTGAAGACATTACTGCCAGTGTTACTGATATCACGATGTCACGACTTACACTGCTACCAAATGTACAAGACATAGCAAACAAACACCGCTATAGTGTGCCCTGGAAACTGGATGTCGCTGTGGTCATTGCTATGTCACCAGAATGGATTCTCCTATATTGCTACTTTTTGTTAGTGGCTCCCAATTCAGTCTGTGGTATGAAAATGATTAGGTAGGTCCAGGCTACATGTGTGTACCCTAGGTGGTAAGGAGACTTAGCAACAGAATATTAGGTATTTTCAGCTTCCTATCAAGACTTATATGTTAGGAATTCCTTTTACTGAGTAAGTTCATATGCTGTGAAACCATAAAAAGGACAAATGTACGTTATAGTGCTTAATTAATTCAAAATGACTGAAGAAGGAAGCAACAGATATTCCACAAAACTTGCAATGAAACAAAACAACAAAACTTTAGCTTTAAGTATGTTAGGTAAGGAAGTTCTTCACTGGACATTAATAAACATATTTTGGAGTTAAATCATCTTGAACAGGCAACAAGGAAAGCAATATTGAACTGGGGTAAGTTTTATTTCGATCATTTTCTAGAGTGATAACACACACCTAAAAGGTAGCATGTGACATTTACTTTTAAAATTTACCACCACTTGGCCTTTGAAATGTACTGAAATTTAAAGGGCACTTTGAGCCAGACATACAAAAGCAAACCAGCTACTTTAAGCATCCTCAAAAATATTGTTTTACCCACAGATAATTCAACAAAGGGCAAATCTAGAAAAACAATATCCTTGAGTTAAGATCAAGAATGTGAGATTGTATTACCATAGGCATTAGTTAAGAAATAATTTTCAAATAAATCAGTAGCATGTAACAGTATGGGGCTGAAACCTCTCTAGATTTTAAAGCTTTATAGAACAAACAGCCTGAAACATCAACATGAATAAAGGGATCAGCACACGATCCATATATCATCTCCTTTCTTCTTACCCGAAGCTATGCTGAAGTAATGTTTGACAGCGATAGTCCCTGACAGTGTGGAAAGGACAGACAACATCCCGAGTTTTAAGCTGTCATAAGGAGTCTGGAGGGCACATTCACAGAGTGCCTGAAATGCAGAAGAGAAGAAACACAAAAGTTAAAACGTCAATATACTATAAAACTGTCTACTCATTTAAAATTTTCTGTTTTTAGAAAAATTATATATTAATGTCTTTTTTCCATAATAAAAAACTTAAGTCAAACTGCCACAGCCAAGAGGAGCTTAAGGAGACATGTTACTAAATATAATGTGGTATCCTAGATAGGATCCTGAAAGAGAAAAAGGACACAAGGTAAAAACTAAAGAATCCTGAACAAAGTATGAACCTTAGTCAATAATAATGTGTCAATATTGATTCATTAATTGTAACAAATGTACCATACTAATGTAAAATATCAGTTACGGGGGAACTGACTTTGGAGGTGGTGAAGCAGGAATCCTCTGCATTATCTTCTCCATCTTTCTGTAAATCTATACCTGTTCTAAAAATATAAAGACTACTTTTTAAAAAGTCATCATAAATGACTTTTTATTAAGACCACTATGAATTATGTACTATTTATTCTTCACAAGTAGAACTCCCACCATATTTTACTTACCTAATAAATATGAATACTAGTCATATATGTATATTTAAAAAAAATAGTAGAGAGCATGATATTCTATCTATAAGTTTATGAGTGAGATATCTAACCTCCTCCCATTTCAGGTCATTTTCTCTACTCCTAAGGTTGTCCGAATATTACCTAAAACAAGATGCTAGTTATTCTTTCAATGCAGTGAGCTATGAATATACACTCAGTGTATATTAACTCATCCTGTATATTTACTCTTAGGGCTCGTACATGACTACATATAATATAAATGGTCAAATATCTGCTCTGTTAAATTAAACTAATTACTGTTCTCCCAAAGACAAAGTTTTAGAAAATGAGCAAAACTTAGACTTGGGGAAAAATTAAAGATAAAATTTCAGAAAGGTTAAACAGTAAATGTAATATGACCCAAATAAAAACACTGACAAAATTTGAGGGAGGAGGGAATCTGTTTCTAAAAGTCATATAGAAAAATAAAAATCAGAAAATAGCCAGAAAAATTCTGACAAGGGACAAAAATAAGCCCCGCTAAATATTAAAATATATAATAAACTCGTAAAAATCAAAAAAGTAAGATGTTTTTTCCTATTCACAAATGCAGAAATCCAAGAAAGAAAACTGGTTCCAGAAATAGATTCAAATACATACTAGAATATATGATAATGGAATTTCAAATGAAAGGGACTATTTGATAAACAGTTCAAGGAGAATGGCTCAGTCATCTTGGTAAATAAAATTAGATCCTTGTTTCTTTTTTATGGCCCCCCCAAAAAAAAAGAAAAAAAAGAAAAAAAAACTTAAAACGTACAAAGAGTTAACATGGGAAAATAACAAGTACAAAGGTAATTGATAAAACTTGAAAAAATATTTATATCATGTAAGAACAATAAAGTCTCAATAATCTTAACATATAAATAGTTTTTAGTAACAAATAGGCAAACAACCCAATAGAAAACCAGTAGTTCACAGATATTTTAAATATGAGATGTTAAACCTCACTCATAATTTGAAACATTTAAATTAAAATAAGAGCTTCTTTTCATCAGATTGGCCAAGATTAAAGTTTAATAATACATAGCACTGAAAACTGGGGAAACAGGCACTCTCACACCCTGCTGATAGACGGTAAAATGGTATAAACCTCATTGTCGGTAACTGGCATTAAATCTTAAAATTTTAAATGGACATTTCATTAGACCCCAAAATTCCTCTTTCAAAAATTTATTTTTACAAAGTTTTTTTTTTTTTTTTTTTAAACAAACTAGTCAATGTAGCAATGTAAACAGTAACCGTAAAAGTTTGGAAACTAATGTCCATCGGTGAGGGACTGGGGATCCAAGGGGAGTACCACACAGCACTAGAAGCATCTGCTAATATGAGAAGTTCCCCCAAGATGCACTGTTAAGTGATAAAAGCTTCAGAACATGCACATACTTTTTAAAATAATTTTTAATTTTTCAATTATGGTTGGCATATGGTATATTTTTATTTCTATAGAAAAAAGATGAGACATACACATGCTTGCATATGGATGAAAAATTCAGGAAGGACACATACGAAACTGATAACAGTGATCATCCCTGCAGAGGAGGCCTGAGGGAAGAGATGGAACACAGACTTATATTCCACTTATTGAATACCTTTGAACTCTGTGAATTTTTCATCACGTGCATGTTTACTTTTACAGTTTAAAGAAAAACCTAGTTAATAACGAAAAATAGAAGCAGCAGTAAAAATTATCTGGGAAGGAATAGAAATGGACTTGAAAGATAGAGCAGGTTTCTGGTAATGGAAGGAAACACAGTCAAGGTGATGCAAACAAGAATTGTGGCAATTAGGCCAGAATATGGAGAGTTTATTTATGGACTTTGAGGAGATACATCCAAAATGAATGAAGGATAAGAGAAACGCTGAATAGGGAAGATAAGGCTAGATTATGGAGGGTCTTGAAAGATAGGCAGAGATTTAAACTTGATGAGAAAGGAAAGAGAAAACCATTGGAGAGGAATAATGTCATCTAAAGTGTTAAGGAATTTTATTCTGGCAATAGAACAACTTAACAAAGAAAGTTAAGACTTAAGGACCAACCTGTAGTTTATGGCAGTAATCCAGGCAGGTGGTAATGATGGCCAAGAGTTTGATGGTAGAAACAGAAAGTGAGAGACATTTTGGAAGAGATTATATATGAGAGACTAAAGAAGGATTCAATGATTATTACAAAATTTTAGACCAGTGACCAAGAGAATCTTGATTCCCTTTACCAAGATTGAGAATTTATGAGGATAAGCTAATTTCAGAGGAAGGACAGAAAACAAGAAGAGATATGAAGTCTATGAAGAAATATTTATCAGGCATTAGGAAACTGAGATGCAGCAGATTTTTAACTAGAAGACTCATAAGAATTCTGGCTCTCTCACTTACCATCTCTGTGATCTGAGCCAATTATTGAAATCTTTTGAGTCTCAACTTCTTTGTCTGTAAAATGGGGGTAAAGATTTATACAGAATTGTTGTTTTCATGTAAAACATCTCTGGAAATATATACAAGAAATCAGACATTGGTCGCCACTGGGCAAAGGAGCAGAGTAGACGGTAGAACAGTAAGTAGGAAATATTTTACTATGTATCCTTTTGCAGCTTTTGAATTTTGATATGTGAATGTACTGGCAGTAAAAGAAATGAATTAACATTTAAAATACAAGTGAGAGGGATATCTATTGTCTGTAAGATTAAATAGCTACTGAGTCAAAGCACTTTGCAACCCTACAAGCTGCTATGCTGGAGAGCAATTCAGAAGCTCAGGTACAAGGACTAGATTGCTGGAGAATACACATACTGATGTTAAGAGAAGCTACCAGAATAGCAGAGAATAAATCGAAGAAAGCACATAGGGTCAAAGACTCAACTATGGGGAAAATAGTGAGTGAATAACACAGTGAAGGCACAGAGAGTGGAAAGAATGAGAACAGTGTCAAAGAAACGAAAAGGGATAGGTTGACAGTGTCAAATGCATTACAGAGGACAGATGATAAAGGCAGAAAAAGCCTCTAGATTTAGCATTAAGTGCCTTTTAAGTACCTAAGCAAAGTGATAGGGAAACAGATTTAAAAGCAAGTATAAAGAAAGAGTAGAGAACAAAGAAATAAAAGCACAGATAGATGTTGTTTTTGAAGTTCAAAAGAAAGCATTTTTTAAGAAGTGACTGTGACTGGGTAATATTTATTCAAATACTTAGGTCATTTCCTCTTATCTACTTTTTATTGCCTAACCTGTCCTCTCTTGTACTGTTAATTAGCTTGTGGTTAGGAATACCCTCCTCAACCAAATAGGGGTTAAAGACTATGTCCTGTATTTATACATATTCAAAATTATGCCTTGTGGAGTGCTCTGTATATAATAGACAGGCTACCTTTTGGTATAATCAAGTAGGCAAGTGAGATATTTTATGTAAGATAATAATGATGATCTCAGAGAAGCAAAAATTCTACCATTTCAAAAAAATGAACATGATGTTTAGAAAATTTTATGATAAAATTATTTACGTTATCTTGTAATTTCTGTTATCTAGCACAATACTGGATTCCCAAAATGCCCTCAGTAAATATGTACTGATTTAAAGGTTCATTAAGTCAAATTGGTAAGCTTAACAGAGGACATCACAAAGTCCTCAAGAGATGGCACATCAGTCATATTTCAATGATAAAATCTGGTTCAAGTTTCTGTTTCTAGGACATTACCTATTACAAAATTGTTCTTACCAGGACCATTTTTCATACTGACAAAAAAGAAAACTCTAACTCTTCAAACAGAGCCTCCTCTCTCACTCACCATCAGTCGTCCTCACTATTTGGTCTGAATTTCTCTCCATATGCTGGTTTCACTCACTGCTCAAATGAGGCTCTGTCCCAAATTAGTTTTCTGGGTCAGTCCCTAAACAGGAGCTTCTCCTCTACTCTAGAATGGGACTGGCCACCAGGGATGTGCTCCAGAAAAGCATGACAAAAAGTTTATAATCTTTAAAAAAAAAAATGTTATGTTTAAAAGTACTCTGTCAAAGACATAATACCTCTAAATTTTCGATCCCCATTGTACTAACTGCAAAAAAAAAAAAAAAAAAAAGATTACTAAAAACACTAATTCTCAGGCTTAATGTGCCATCTCTTCTAATATCAGGTAAAGTACAAATTAAATCTCTCAAGAGCAATAATGCCAAATATAAAATTACGTCTTTGAGAATATCTAGAACAAAGTCTTTTACTTGGTAACAGAGAAGAAATTCGGATCAAGTGTTATCACTTCAGATAACACTATAACATCAGAAAAGTGTAAACTATTAACATAGTTTATAGTTACACCGAGTATTTTAGCTAAGCATTAAAAAAATCCAAAGAAAAATATAAACACATGAAAAAATATTTTTTTTCCTACAGAATTGTTTCTGACTACTTTAATAATACGCTGTACTCAGACT